CTATGTGGTCAGGTGGTAGAGGTTATGTCCGACAAGGGTGGTTGTAGTGACTGCCTGGGATGGTGAAAATTCAGAATCAACCTCCACATGCAAAATTTAAGACAGTGGTTGAATTATAATTAGATTCATCAGTAATGGAATGTTATGCACCTTTACAAGAGTGTGTAGATTTAAATATATCATAATATTTCATCATGCTCACTTTGAATGATATTATACACATAATATGTAAGTGTATAATGGTAGAATGTGTGTAGTGTGGTCCCATTGAGGGGGTGTATGTGTGTGTGTGTGTGTGACACACAGGGCATGCAGCTCGTTAGCGTACATGGAGACAGAGGTCTAGAAGATTACCAGAATGTTAAGAGATTCATGTTGTGACAACCAGGGTTATGTTATATGTAGTCTTCTTCTTTTCTGCTCCTTGCTCATGAATTAGTTATGCTTTATATCATATTATAAAACCCCAGAAGTTTACATAATAATAACTGAATGTGAATTTAGATAATCACACTCATTCCTTTTCCTGGCTAGTTACATAGCCAACCAGCTCTTCTGGCACAATGCTTGGCTTATTAGGGTCGGTGTTTATGGCTATGGTTTCTTCCATGGGAATCTGGGTGGAGACGCTGCCCGGCAAGCAGGCATCTGATGGCCTCTGTCCCCGCCTCTCCCGCAGGTGGCGACACTCAGACCCAGCCTGTGCGCCGGCTCTACACGGTGGGCCTGCCTCCCGAGGGCTGGGTCCCCCACCCCCCGGAGCCCCCTGTCTGCATGGGTCCCGAGAGTGCCTCCAGCGGCGAGGGCTTCTCCAGCGGCGAGGACTCAGGAGGTAAGACCCCATCTGAACTGTGACTCGGGGTTGGGGGCGAGGGTACCGCCATGTGGGCCCTGCAGGCATTAAGGGCGGTGGTCCAGACCCCCAGCGGGTGCAGTGCGCGGGGTGGGAGAGGACTCGAGGCTGGACACGGTTGTGGCCGTGTGTGAGACCGTGTTAGCGTCAGAACGTGAAAGCACTCCTTTTGTTAAAGAGGCTTTTTTCTCGATTTTCCAGTTTCTTCAGAATTTCAGAGATTTTATATCAATTTTGTAATCATGGAAGTAAGTTATTTTGTATCTGTCATGGAAAAACTGAAAGATTATATTGGCTTTTGCTGTCGGATGTCTTGTGAGTGAAGGAAAATCAAGGAGTCGGGTGCTCTGGTGCTCATGCTGCACGTGAACCGTTTGCCTTGGAAAGTGAAAGGTGCTTTTTCCCCTTTTAATTCATCATTTCAGAATTTCCTTAAGAGGAATTTGGAATTTTCAAATAAAAAGTTCGCCCCAGGTGATTTTTTAACAAATATAATCTAAGAAACTATACCATAAACCTTAATTTGACTATCAAGAAAATGTAGATTTCTAGTAGATAGATTATTCTGACTTCCTAATTAGAGGATCAGAAACCATAAAACCAAAAATGGGATAGCTTAGAAATACGTATTTCTCTTTTCAAGGCCTGTTGAAAAATCTTTGAGTATAATTATTAGGTCGATAGATTATTTCATCAGAAAATTAAACGTGTCCTTATAAAGACAGATCACTTTGGTGAAACAGTCCACTATGTCCTTAGTGTACTCTATAGAAAGGGCAGGACTCGTCCTGGGCAGTTGTGCACAGCTGGCTCCGCTGTGCGAGCCACCGCCTGGCAGGTCTGTGGACTGGATCCCACCTGAGAACCTTCTGGTCGCCCTTAACCGAACGCACTGCCCAGCCTGGTACTGCAGGGCCGAGCTAGAGGCCGTCCTCGCAGGAGGTGGGAAGGCGTCTCTCCAGCTGGACAGACATCTCTGCAGACAGCTGTCTCCTGCCAGCACCCACAGGGCCCAGGGCCGCCACCTCCAGGAAGGCCTGGGGTTGGGCCTGGTGCCGCTTCTGCTCTGGCAGGAGTGCACTGGTCAGGGCAAACTAGGGAGAGGGCAGCAAGCGCTGAGGGTTCTTCCCCTCCAGTTGCCATGGGACCTGCACATCCGGGGGACTCTGATTGTACCTTTGGCCCCAGCACGTGCCCAGCTGCGTTTCCACAGGTGCTCCCTGGGCGGGCCGTGCTGCTCACTTCCCCTTCTGTTCCTGGTTTGTGGGAGCACACAGGTTCACAGGACCTTCACTGTGGGTTCCCTTCTCAGAGGCCGGGGTCAGGGAAGGCGTGGGTGGACTGGCCTTGTACCTCTAAGGAGAGTGGACGGCTTGAGAGGGAGGCTGGAGTCTCCCAGTAGGGTGTTAGCTCTGTCCCTGAGATCAACATGACGCGTCCCCCTGGCTCTGCGTCTGCCCTGACCCCACCTTTGAGCCCCACCGCTGCCCCGACCTGCCCGGCCGCCTTCCCACAGCAGGTGGGTCTGGGCTCCTCGGCTGACTTCCTGTGGCTGCACACTCCTCCCTAGCCCAGGACTGGTCTCAGCTTTGAGGAGCAGTTTTCTTTTGAGAGGCTGTGTGAGCTCAGTTCCCTAAGTCAGCATCACTGGAAACACTGACCCGCTTTTTCAGAAGAGCTTTAAGTAACTTCCTAATCAAATTCAGGCCGGGAAGTCAATATCTTTCTATCCTGAACACTTGTAACACATCTCCACATGTTTCAGGTCATTTTTCTTACTGTTTGTCTAGCATTTTTCCCCATTGCAAACCCCAGGAGGTGGGCCATTTGAGGCGTTGGAGGTGATAAGTTGGAAGGAATAAATGACGACGCTGTCTGCAACGAGAGGCCTGCGAGGCTGTGCTCAGCCGGGTGGTGTGTGTCGGGGTCCAGCTGCAGCCCAGGAAAAGGACAGGATGGTTAGGATGCTGGGGTGGGAAGGGGGAGGCCTGTGGCCAGGACTTGCCAGGCGTAAGGTGTGGAGACATGCAGGGGGAGGGTGGGTGAGTTCTTTTCAGGGGCAATTTTCAGCAGAGAGTGTGAGAACTGAAGCTGGAAAAGAAGAGAAAGTCCCTTAGTTACTGTGTCCAGCCATCATGTCCATTTTGAATGCCCAGCACCAGTGAGTCAGTTCAGTAGTAGCTTCTAGAAATGTCGAGAAGAGGACGAGTCTGCCTGGCCGGCTGCCCCGTCTGCTGCGTCCCTCCTCCCGTCACTCACCCCCAGGAGGTGCTGGCCCTGGCCCTGCAAGGAGGCCAGTCACGTGCATGCGGGGTGGCAGGTCTGGTGCTGCCCTCCCCGGGACAGCAGCCCTGGTCCCTCGTCCCCGCCGCTGGCCTAGGCCTTGTCCAGGCTGATGCTTGATCCTTATTAACTGTACCTCTGGGTTTGTTCCCGGGCCACCTATGCCTGTTGGGAGACAAGACTGTGCCCCGAAATCTGCGCCAAAGGCCTGAACATCCATCACTTGCTCATCCCCTGCCGCCTGCGAACCACCTGCAGGAAGCCTCTGCACGTCCCAGGCACCAACTTTGAATTCTTGTACACTTGAAATGTTTGGGGGTGGTGGGAAGAGATGCAGCAGAAGGGAGTGGTGTTATCAGCCTACAGGGACGGTGCCGGGCTTTCCTCTAGGGCCTCCCTGCTGCGCTCCAGGTACCTCAGTACCCTGGTGCAGCTGAGGTAAAAGGCATACATGCTCCCTCCTGCCTTCGACGTCCGGCATCTGTCTCTCTCTCTCAATGGTCTTGCACGTCCTTCCCAAGAAACAGTAAACCCTTGGCCCGATGTTGAGAATGGCCCACGGTGAATTACGCCAAAAGGAAGCCGCCCTCCTTGGCAACTATGCCTTTGAAACGCTCAGCAGCCTTATTTAGAAGTTAACTTGTCGCTCTGGTGGGAGCACTGCTTTCCCCTCTGTCGTGGCACGTATGCAGGAAGCTGCCCATGCAGGAAGCTGCCCTGTGTGCGGTTCAAGTCCCCCACAGTTATATCAGAGTTCCCCTGGGGCCACTGGGATAGTAAGTAATGTCTGTCCTCAGAACATATCAACTCACAGTCGTTTCCTGAACAAACTGCGCTGCAGATTCTGGAGAGCTGAGTGATTCTGGGGATTCGAGTGATTCTGTAGATGAGATCTGGGTAATTCTAGTGAGTCCTGATTCTGGAGATCAGTGATTCTGGAGATGTGCTCTGGGGAGCTACCAGCAGGGACGCTTAACAGACGTGGAGCTGGTAATGAGAAAATGCTACACCCTTCCTGAAGACACTGGGAGCTTGCCCCCGAGCAGCTATCGAGAAACAAGTTAGGCTGTTTAACTTTTAAAAGAAAACATAGGCATTGTCCCCAATGTGCTGTCCGCTGGGTGTTCATGAGGTACACACTGGCCAGCAGCTTGTGTGCGATGTGCTGTCAGGCTCCTGACAGAAGTCCCCGGGGTGTGATGAGGAATGTGGGGAGGGATCACCAATATTTGGGAGTCTAAACTCAGGAGAACACTGGCCATTCAGTCCATAAGTGTAAATGCTCACTTTAATCCAAGTCAGCCCGTAAGAAAGCTGTCTACCTGGTTGTGTTACTATGCCTCTCTCTAAATATATCACTTGGAATTTCATTTTGTGTGTTCATTTTTTAATGTAGATTAATTAAAGGCATGGAGAGTGTTTTCTTCTTTGTATGAAACTATCATTGAAAACCTTGTTCTTTATTCTCCCTATACTCACTCACGTTTGTATAAAACTCCAGATGAAAAGTTGCTTTCAGAGTTCAGTTCTAGAAAGGTGTTTTGCTTTTCATAACAGTTATGCTGCTTCTTACGGGATAAGAAATGTTACTCATATGTACACTTTTTGCTTTGGCTGACAGGAAGCTCCAGTCCCAGCTGCTCCCTATTTTCTTCAGTTGCTGCCATTTTTCTGGACTTCCATTTTCTGGGTACTTTTCCCTGCCTCTCGGTTGCTTAACTCCTATTTAGGTTGAAACCTTACAACACTGGTGTTTCTAAGCTGTGCTGCATCCTTTTGGAAGTAAACAGAGCAAATGAGGTTCAACCACTGATTCACTTTAATAAAAGCCCCTGTGCCCAGGCCCCAGGAACATGAATTTGGCAGAGGGGGCCGTCCTGGGGGAGGTTCACATGTGTGCAGTCACAGCAGAGTCTGGTGAGGCGTCCGGAGACAGCAGTGCTGCCCGAGTGCCCTGGCCGGTGGAGCCCTGCAGCGGGCCTGCTCTCAGGGCTGATGAGTCAGTAGGTAGAAGAGGCAGCAGGACTGCGGGGAGCTCGAGAGACAAAGCGATCAGTGCACGAGGACACGTGCTCCGCGTGATGGCCAGCCGTGCTTGGCCGTGTAGACCAGGCCCAGCGTGAGGCCCAGGAGCTGGTGGCACCTGGGGGTCTGGACTTGGAGACTCTGGGGCAGAGAGGACAAGGGAGGGGAACGAGCGGGACCAGCCTGGCCTGACCCACAGTCGGTGACAGGGAGTAGAATGTGGGCCCTGGAGGTTTTGTCAGGTTTGGTGGTGTTTTGCGAGTGAGGTGGAGGAGAGTCTGCCCTCAGGGCCTCTGACCCTCGAGGGGTGAGGAGTGTGTGGGCACTGGGACAGCAGGCGGGCGTCACCCCCCTGGGCCGGCTTGGTGGTGACCCCTGCAGGGAGGAGGGCATTGGCTCCCTTGACCCAGGGCCACTGCCGGAAGTAACATTTTTAACATAGAGCAAAGGCTGCTGAAAGTGTTTTGTGAACTCTGGAGCCAAACAAATCTGAAATGTTGCTCCAAGAATTGTCCCATGTGTTCCAGTTACGAAGAAATTTGCATTTCATTTGGTGGCTCATCTGAACTTGACTACAGCGGCTTCTCCTGGGTCCACAGGGGTACTTACCCATCACACCCAGATTTTCATACCTGCTGCTCTGTCTGGACCCTGCACACAGGACTGTCCAA